CCCCCGCCCCCTCCCCGCCATGCGTGGCCTCATGTCCCTCCTGGCACTAGCCATGGCAGCCCTGCTGGCCGTGGCTTCGGCCATGGACGGGGCCGTCTCTTCATCCATCGGCGGAGCGTACGACAGCGCCCTGTCGACCGGGCGGCGTGACCGGCTGCGCCCCCGGGCACCGGCCGCCGACGCTGGCGACCCCCGTGGCGGGGCCTTCCCCACGCACACGCCCCTTTTCGACCAGGTGGACCAGCTCTTTGTGGACAGTCGGCGCCTGTTGCTGGCTGTCGGCGCGGTGGGTCCCAGCCACGCGCGTATCCTCTTCCAGCCGCTGGCGGTGGATCTCCTGCAAGAGGAGGAGGTCCAGGTGCGGGTGGTGTCGATCACCGACCGGCCGAGCCTCCCCGAGCAGGGATCCGCCCTGCCGGCCGATGCCGGCGGGGCCGATGCGGACATCGATCTGGTTGATCCGCTGGCCGTGGAGACCGGCGACATGGCCGGCGGGCGCCTGGTCCACGAGACGGTGGTGTCGCTGCGTCATGCGGCCGAGGCGCCGCATGTCCTGCGCCTGGCCGGCCTGCAGCCGGCCACCCAGTATGCCATTCACTTCCATGTGCCCGGGCCGCTGGACGCCGGGGTCGATGCCGCGGAGGCCATCCGCAGCCGGACCGTGGAGCGTGCCTTCTTCCGGACCCCGGCTGGGCTGTCGGCCGGGGGTGCCAGCCAGGATGTCGAGGACCCGGAGGCCGAGCCGGCGGTGGCCCCTGGCCGGCAGACGCCTCTGCGCTTTTTGACGGTCTCCTGCAACCGGCTGAACGAGGACCTGGACACGAGCCTGTGGCGCGAGCTGGCCACCCGGGAGCGCCTGTTCGACGCGTCGCGCGGCAACATCGACCTCTCCCTGCATCTTGGGGACCAGGTGTATGCGGATGCCATCAGCAAGTCCTTCATGGCGCGCATGACGGCTCCGGCGGCCGGCCTCGGCCACCAGGCCCACCTGGAGGCCCTGACGTATCCGGAGCTGCTGGACATCTTCCGGCGTCTGTATCGCGGGGTGTTCGGCCATGCGGCCGTGCAGCCGGTCCTGCGCCATGGCAGCACCGTCATGATCCCGGACGACCATGAGTTTGTCAACTCCATCTCCCCGGAGCTGGTCCGGCCCGGGGCTGTCATGGCCACGGTCATGGCCGCCGCCCGGCGGGCCTACCTCGAGTACCAGTACCAATTGACATCCGACGCGTTCGACGAATACGGCCAGTGCGTGAGCATTTGCCCCTGAGCAGCCCCTCTTTGCTGCCTTTGCTCGGGGCTGCACCCCTCCCTGTGGTGTTGCTCTTTCTTCTCCCCCCCCCCTCTCTCTCTCTCACACACACACACCGTGTCTGTTCGTCTCCCTCCTTAAATCCTCCCTTCTCCGTGCCCTCTCTCTTTTCTACACACGTTCTTTCTCTTTTCTTCTCTCTCTCTCCCCCCCCCCCCCCCCCACCTCCCGCCACCCACCCCCCCCCCGCACAGTGAGTTGCCCCACTTGAATGAAGGTCACTCCATCTACCACTTCTTCCGCTGGGCCGATGTGGCCTTCCTCATGCTGGATGTCCGCCTGCACCGGTCGTATGTGGCCGATCCGCCGGAGAGCCCGCTCCTCGGAGCCGAGCAAATGGCTCGCTTCCTGGCCATGATGGAGCACATTCGCACCGACCCAACCGTCAGCCACACAGTCATCGCGGCATCCGTGCCGCTGATCTACTCCGGCGAGGAGGCCGCGCGCATCGTGTACGCCATCGAGGAGGACGTCCTGCCCATGCACCCCTCGGTCCAGGGGGACACCTTCCGCCTGTTGGATGCCATCAGCGACCTCGGCGACTCGGCCAGCGTCATCGGCGGGGACATTCACATGTTCATGGAGGCCGAGCTCACCAATACCCGGTGCGCTCTGCCGAGCATGCCGCTTGGTTTTCTTTCTTTCACTCTCTCCCCTTCGTGTTCTGGGGCCCGTGCTCTCCTCCTGGGTGGCGCTCACACGCACATACGCTGCCCCCGCCCCCCCCCCTTCGTGCCGATCGACTGACCTCCCGGCGCCTCCCTCGCCCCTTGTCGCGCGTAGAAATGGCAAGAAGGTCCGGCAGTACGCGACGTCCGGCATGACGGTCGGCTCCACGGTCGGCGGGTCGCACACTCGCCTGCTGCCCTTCTTTATCTTCACCTTCCGGGTGTTGCCCCTGCGTGTGGGCCACTGGACCATGAAGCTGCTCCGTGTGCGTGCCGGCTATTGTCCTTTCTCTGTCGGAGGGGAGGGGGGGGGCTCCCGATTCCGGGGCCTTGCTGTACTGCCAGCCTCCGCCCTGTCGTCCCCGGGGCCCTTCGTGCTGGTTGGCCTCCTTCCAATCACTCGCTCGCCTTGCCTCTCACCTCTTCGCTCCCTCGGCCTCCCCCGTCCTCTTCGCTCCGGGCCCCCGTCGGCCTCTTTGGTCTGATCATTGCAGGGTGTGGTCCACCAAAACTACCTCATCTTCGACATCAGCCCGCCCACCGGGACCAACGCACAGGTCCGCCTGCGCATCCAGCCCTTCTTCCTGTCGGAGTGGACCCTGTCTCAGCGCATCGGCCAGTCCCTCTTCGAGGTGGGCATTCCGCTGGCGACCACCGCCGCCCTCGGCATCCTGGCCATCCTGCTCATGCGCCGCTTCAACGCCGGGCGCCGCACTGCCACCACCCCTGCCGCACCTTCCAACTAGGAGGCATGTGTCGAGAGGGGGGGATCTGCCCCCCATTTATGGAATATGCCGGGCAAGCCCCCCTCTTGCCCCCGGAGCCGGGCCAGCACACAAAGCGCCCCACTTCTCGGCGCCCAGCCACAGCCCACTCGGCTGCCCGTGTGTGTGTGTGTGTGTGTGTGTGTGTGTGTGTGTGTGTGTGTGTGTGTGTGTTTGCGTGTGCCGGGACAGAAATAAAACGAACAAAGTCTCCCCTCCTCCCCTGTGTGCCCGCCGCGAGGGGCCCCGCCCGAGCGAAGTGCGGCCTCCGACGCCCGCCACCACGATCAGACCCCTCCGATGGCAGATGGCCCAGCGACATGGGCTTTGCATTCTTGATGTGGTCACGTGCCGATATTGTAACAGTCACGCTCGGTCCTCGTTTCCCAGCGCCGCCCGCCGCCCGCCGTGCGCCTGCGCGTGCGCGCGCAGACACACACTGGTTGAGTGCACCGCCGGCATGCGCGAAAAGCC